GTTCAGTGCTAAATCTAGTGGGGACTTACTACATGTTTATGTTGTAATTTGCTTTTGAAGAATGGTGGGAAAGCATTGGAGCATTTTCTTTTAATGTAAAAGCATGTAAGATGATACCAAAGCAACTGAATAATATGTAATTGTAATGTAAGATTGCCACAAAGATCTAAAACTGCTTAATTAAAGATGTATTTTATTGTAGGCAAATACAGAAGCACAGCTCTTACCAGGACAGATATTTGCCAAAGAAGGTAGGTTTTCTTGGGAATCTTGTTGCTCTGTGCTATGCCCAAAGAATCATAGAATGGTTAAGGTTGGTCAGCCTACGAAATAATGCAAACAAGCCTTTGGCTTTCTACCTTTGTAGAAAAAGAGGAGCATGGAGTCATTGTGGTAGCTTTGTACCCCTACGATGGCATTCATGAAGATGACTTGTCCTTCAAAAAAGGAGAAAAATTGAAAGTGATCGAGGAGTAAGTATAACATTACTGATTGTACTGTAGTTTTTCTTCGGATTCATCTAATTCTTCGTATATTTTTTTTTATATCTTGCTCATACCATGAGTGTGTTCATGGTAAGAGAGCTCCCTTATATGTGAAAATACAAATGCACGTGGAGCTGTTGGTGGGATTTGGCAGTTGCTCTCAGTCAGAGCGACCAAACATTGATCTCTTGGAGCCGATGGGCTTCTCAGGCAGCTTGAGTTCCGAAGAAAGATGATTCTTCTCTTTCCACTGTGGGGCAAAACTCCCAGCAAAGTAGAATCCAAGTAACACTTTTTCATTCTGGTTTCATGTGCATACTACTGCTGTTTCTGTTTTTCAGGCTGGGAGAATGGTGGAGAGCAAAATCTCTCACTACAAGGAAGGAAGGCTTCATTCCCAGCAACTATGTAGCAAAAGTAGACACCCTGGAAACAGAGGAGTAAGTCCTTAGAGGCTCCAAACACAGGGAAACTTCTTCTTCACCCTGGTGGTGTATCCTTTGTGGGTGGGGAAGAAAAATAATTCTAACTCTTTGAAATACTTTTCAGATGGTTCTTCAAAGACATAACACGAAAAGATGCCGAGAGACAACTCCTGGCTCCTGGAAATAGTCCTGGTGCTTTCCTTATCAGAGAAAGTGAAACATTAAAAGGTAGGCTTTGGGGTGGATTGCTTTCAAATTGATAGTAGAGTTAAAACCAAGTAGTCTGTCTTCATCAAAATTGGCAGGTGGCACTGGGTGTGGAGTAGTCTCAGTGTGTCTTATTGTGTACATTTGCTGCAGTTCTGTAGGAGTGAGAAGGGTGAGCAAATCACCAGAAAAAGAGAGTTACAGGTTAACAGCCAATGTTGAGATGGGGTGGGGGGGAAGTGTGTGTGGTAACACTGACATGAAGCAAGTGTAAGAAAGTGAGAGATCTTTGTCTTCCTAACATTTGTGATTGCTTTAGTGAAGGGCACTTCACTGTCGTGCTGCATTTTATAGTCTTCCATTATTTTGGAGGTTGTTTGTTTTTTTTTCCTCCTCCTGAGTGGACAGTTGGCCTTGGTGATCTTAGAGGTCTTTTCAATACCTGACAGTTCTGTGATTCTGTGATTATTTGGTTTGTATTCATTGCTACAAGATGTATAATGAAGTTAGTGCATAATGAGGGTTTATACTTCTGCAGTGCAGTGTGATTTTTTTCAAACAGCTTTTTGGTAAAGCTGTGTGCTGTAGACAGAGCTCTTTGTACTGAAAAACTTAGTGAGATCTCCAAACTCTTCAGCTGGGACTTCTAGAAGAGCATGTGAGGTTCTGCCCTAGTATCTGGAGTCCAACAGCATCCTGGCTAGATACTGCATCTGGATACTCGTAACACAGTGTTCTCCAGAGGATGATGCATGGATCCCTTCAGCAGTTCATGTCTGTCCTCTCCACAGGGTAGCTTTTCTTGCCCAAGCACTGCAGATTCTTGATTAAATAGCTCTCTGTAATGGGCCCATATTGTTGTTCCTGTGTTCTCAAATGAAGATTCCTAAATGAAGTTCTCAAAGGAAGACTCCTAAATTCAACATAGGCTGCCAAGAGTAAGGCAGAACACCCCCAAACTATTTCTTTCCATCCCCTTCTGTCATTGGATCTGTGTGTGGGGAGAGATAAGGGGGTGAGGTGGTTTCTCACCTTTGAAAATGGACAAGAATTGTACAAGCAGAAGAAACTGAGAACTCTGGAGTTGAGGGTAGATGCTCTGCTGCCCCATCTTAAATCCCTACTGAGGTTAGGCTTCCTAGGACTAGGAGATCTGCTCTCCCTTCTACGACACCATCTCCAGAGTACCCCTTTGCTATTTGGCTCAAGAAAACCAGCATCTTCCTTTCCCAAAACACTGATCTCCTAAGTTCAGCTTCTGCCTGAGGAGTGTGACAGCCCTGGCCTTGCTTTGTCAGCCAGTTCCACTCGAGCTGGGGGGTACTTTCTGCAGAAGTGGGCATTGGATGTGGAACTGCCTGGATTATGGAACTCCCAAGTTTGTCAAATAAGATTGAGAAAGAAAGTGTGAGTGTAAGCATTTTGGTGACCAGTTCAGGCCCAGCTGTTGGCTAACTTCCTCCTCCTGCTGATTGCAAAATGCTTTTTGAGGAAATAAGGGAGTAAAAAGAAGAACAGACTAATAGGTGATTTTATTAAGCTCAACTATATATGCGTGGACACTGTAGACTTTTGCTCTCTCTTGATGATCATTCTTTCTTTATCCACAGGCAGCTATTCTCTCTCCATAAGAGACTATGATCCACAGCATGGTGATGTTATTAAGCACTACAAAATTAGGAGTCTAGACAATGGAGGATTTTACATCTCTCCGAGAATAACTTTTCCCAACATCAATGACATGATCAAGCATTATCAAAGTAAGTTAAATCCATTAGTGAATACCTTACTGGAATACAGCCATTATTTCCTGTGAAGGAAAATAAATGCTTTCTTGTTTTGTTTCAAACATTTTAATCTTTTTTTTTTTTTTCCTCTATATAACCCAGGCATGCTTATTATCAAAGATAAAGTAAAACTGGTTGGAATTCAAGGAACATTGTTATCATAGCCACACCTAATGCTGCTTACTCTCTGGCATACCATTGCCAAATAAAGGTTAGCTCTATAAAGCACTTCATCAGTGTTATGATGATGTGAAGCTCTACTAAGAATTGCCTGCCTTGTAAATTAATTCATTCTGTATTTGAGAGGAAATTTGTATTCAAAATTAGCAGAAATATGTTCAGATTCATGAATGTCTTCTTGTATCTGGTGTTGAGTGTGGAGTCACTATCCCTGGAGATTGTAAAAGGAAAGGCTGGATGTGGCACTTGGTAAAATGGTCTAGCCAGTGTGGTGGTGTTAGGTCATAGGTTGGACTTGATGATCTTAGAGGTCTTTTCCAGCCTCAGTAACTCTGTTTCTATGATTGCTTTTCTTTTTTCTATAAATCTATTTATTTATCTATTTATTGTGAATGGCATTTTGAAGGAAGTAAAATTCCATTAACTTCAAAGGAAGAAAATTACACAATTGCATACACATAGAATGTATACATTTATTGTATATATATATAAAAAAAAAACATGGGCAAGGGGAAGATACAAGCTTCTACCAATGTTTTAACTACAAAAGCGACTTTTCATTCTGCATCAACTGCTGGTGAATAGCTGCAAAATATTTAGTCTTGTACCTGGGATGACAGAGAAGACAAAAAATGTAGGAATGAAAAATCACATCGTGATTTTTCAAAGCCACACTGAGGACTTGGCCATGAGATTTCTCTGAGTTATTAGGTATATGTAGTAATTCTTTGGTTCTGCTGGAAAACCTGAGAATTATTTGACATTTGTATTAAAGGCATAGATGGCCAGTGTCTGGAGTAAAAATAAGAGTGACCTACTTATGCTTGCATGCACATGTGTCTGAAACCATGCTGCAAGAAAATTTAATGATAAATTCAGAATACAGATCCCAAGCCTGACTCCAGCGTGTATCTTCATCAACATACTGTCACTAGTAAGATCTTATATTGTATTTATTTGGTACAAATGGTACTAAAATATCTTAATGATCTTCTGGTAAGCAGATGTATGTGACAGTTCTTAATTAAATTTGTCTCTGAATACCAAATTTCAGTTCAGATGTTAAAACATCAGAAAGGTTACATTTTCATCATAGCGTCTGATTATTCTAAACATTGTTTTGAGCTGACTAGTGCACACCTGCAATTAATTAAAGTTTGTCTCAAGTCATAAGGCACTGAAGTGTAAAGGATTTTGTATTTTGCTTTTCCTTTGAAAACCAGAGCAATCAGATGGTTTATGCAGAAGGCTGGAAAAACCTTGTATTTGTCCGAAGCCTCAAAAACCATGGGATAAAGATGCCTGGGAAATTCCACGGGAATCAATTAAATTAGTGAAGAAACTTGGAGCTGGTCAGTTTGGAGAAGTCTGGATGGGTAAGTTTATTCCATTGGAAAGACTATTTAAATCTGCTGAAAGAAGGGCTGTTTCAAAGTCCTTCAGAATAATAGTGAACATGCATCTGGTCTAATAATACTTGTAAAACTGCAGAATATACCTTCTCGTGATGAGAGAGAGGATTTGCAAGGGGGAAGGTATCTGATATCATGGAACAAATCCTTTGTTGTCTTTTAAAGGGAAAAAGAATAAATGAGAAAGCCCTGTAATTTAGAGGGTTGAAGACAAAAGGGGGTTTTTGGTTGTGCTTCATGGGGAAATAGAAGGTTATGGAAGGTGTGACTCCTGATTCTCAAAATCAGTGGGCATCTCAAAACTTTGTTTCAAGTCAGAAAGTTATAAATAACCTGGAATAGAAAGAAATAATGTCTTCTAGTGAATTGTGTATAGGGTTTTCATTGTCTCTTGATAAAGAAGGGACTGTAGTATAATACATGGGGCTGCCTTATTGGGTGAAAAATGAGGACACTTAATCCAAATTTATTGCCTGCCAGATTGATGCCAGAAAAGTAGGTGATTTAGGAAGTGAGAAGATGAGAGACTGATCACCCCCTACCTTGAACTATCATGCAGGTTCCCAATAATGAAAGTGTCATAAGCCTTACAAGTCATAAGTTTTAATATATACCTAGCTAAAAATGATGGTGTTAATTATTATAGACGTAATTACCTTTGCTTATAGACAATCTTATTTTCTCAGCCTCCATGACTTCCTGTGGCAAGGGACTGTGATCAGTGTCTAATTACATTCTGCAAAAATATTTAATTCTCTAACTTTTGAAGTGCTGTCTATTCAGGCGTATTATTTTGGGTTCTATATTGCATGTTCTGTGTGCTATCCATTACTTATACACTTGTATTTGCTTACACTTATTTGAGGTAAACTACACTTTCTCCCAAAGTTTTCATTATTATATTTTTTCAGACCAGATCATTGTCTTAACCCTTCTCTGAATCTCCTTTTTGGAGGTTTTATTTAAACAGTAATAAAATGGTTGTTAGAATATAATAGAATGGCTTATTCCTACTATTATGATGATGATGATGATGATTACTATCATTATTCAAAAGTATATAGGCAGATCTGAGCAACAAAGTTGCATTTCTGAGCAACAAAAAAAATTAATTAGAAGATGGAAAGCTATGAAGGGGTCTCTGATGACTCACAGGAGTGTCATGGGACTGTCACTGCTTTGAGGTGATGCTCTTATTTAGAAAATTAAAGCATGGAGTGATGCTGTTTGTGTGGCAAATTCCACACATAACTATAGTGTCAATTCAGTAAGCTCTAATTCAGTCATAGGTGGAATCTGTTGATATGAATCATGTAAAATGCAAACAACGCATCTCTATAATATAATTTAGACAAATTCAGCCTTTTATCTGCCTTGCTTAAAAAAAAAAAGGCTTAAGAAACCCTCTAGCTATGATATAAGCAAGTGACAGTTTACATACTAGTTAAGACAAGCATCTGCCATTGTGCAGTGTATTTTTTTCTGTCTAATAAGCCAGAAGAAGAAATGTTTAACTGACACTGAAAGGCTGTGAAAGACTTTGTGGCAGAAGTTAATCACCTGCTGAAAATGTCAATGGTTTTGGGCAGTGGCTACTTCTGCACACACACACACGCACACACACAAAGGCATGAAATTCTAAAAGGGTGTTTCTGCTTCAAGATGTTTCCGCTTGTTTGTGTCATTATTTTAATGTCTAAATTGGGCCTAACCCCTGCAACTGAATTGCTGCAGTGTGAGAAAAATTAATGTAGTGTGAAAGCGATGGCCGTGTTTCCTCTTCTCTGCTTCCTTTCTGAAGCAAGAAGCTGCTTTGCATGGCGCAGGTCTCCTCAAGTCAGGAGTGGGGTTAATCTTAGTGCCAAGGAAGTTCAAGCTGGAAAAGATGTGTTAGGTCAGTTGTGCTGTGCTGGGTGTCACAGATACTGAGTACTGTAATGGTCAACCAGGGGCATCAGGAGTTATGCAGTGCTGAGAAATAACCTAGTTGTTCTGCTCTCCTGGTTCGAGAGCTAGTTGTTAGTTACATTCTTCTCATATAGAACAGAATTATTTTTCTGCTGTAGTATGAATTAGAAAGAAATATTGTTCCGTGGTTTAATTACTAAACCAATTTCTTTTTGATGAAGGGTACTTAGAATTGTGGTTTCAGTGTCCCATTCGGAGGAACTATGCTCCCCAGTAAAGAGAGATACGGAGCTACTGGACAGAGTCCAGCAAAGGGCTACAAAGATGGTGAAGGGGCATGAACATCTCTCCTGTGAGGAAAGGCTGAGAGAGATGGGACAGTTCAGTCTGGAGAAGGCACAGGGGGATCTCATCAGTGTATATGAATACCTGAAGGGAGGTTGCAAAAAGGATGTAGCTAGGCTTTTCTCGGTGGTGGCCAGTGACAGGACCAGAGGCAACAGGAACACTCTGAAACACAGGAGGTTCTCTCTGAACATCAGGATATGCTTTCACTGTGTGAGTGGCCAAGAACCTGGCACAGGTTGCTCAGAAAGACTGTGGAGTCTCCATCCTTGGAGATACTAAAAAAAACAACTGAACACAGTCCTGGAGAACCAGTCCTGGTTGGCCTTGCTTGATCAGGGGATTTGGGCCAGATGCCCTCCAGATGCCAACCTCAACTCTTCTGTGATATATGGGAAGACAGAGGCAATAATGTTACTGCAATGTGAAGACGTGCCACTGTGTCTTTTGTAGCCATTTCTTTTCAGTTTGTCTGTAAGTACTCTTTGGGCTTCCAAGTTGACATCTTCCTCTTGCACATTTTGGAGGGAGTTAGCTTACGTTGTTGGAAGACTAAGAAAAACCTAGGAACAAAAAGCAGATCCCCATATCCCCCAAGCATTCGGCGGTGCTTCTGTGTGACCTGTGCAGAGAATGGTCACTTATAAAGTAGGCAAGGGAATCTCCTCCAACTCTAATTCTTTTACATAGAGAAAACCTGATAAAAAGGACCATCAATTTCCCACTTTTGTCTATTAATGCAAGCACGTTTAATTTCTTTCTTCATTTCAGCTATGTGTATTTTTCTACATTTTATAAAGACTTTTCTGGTTTTAGGCAACCAAGTCAGTGCTTATGTGTGTGCTTTGGGCATCAGCTGTGCTGATGTGATAGATGAAGCCGGCGTGGCAGAGTTGTGTCCACATTTTATGCCCCGCACCATGGAAGCAGTTAGAAAGCTGCAGCTTGTGCTTTCTGCCTTCACATGTAATGGGCTGTATGGAGATAAGCTAGAGATGGAGCTACTGTTGTGTTCCTCTGCTCTTCAGCTGAGTGACGACTGGAGTTGGTGAAGGAGTGATGTGCTAATGTGCAAGAGGAAGTTGCTGCTCCTCAGTCTCTTCCCCAGTGCCTGCTGCAATCAAAATGGCCTAAGACTTTGCCTGGCTTCTAACAGTGTCATACTTCCTTAGCTCAAACAGGTTGTTCCCAGTATGACCTTTCAGGAAAGTACAGGAAGGAGAAAGCTGCATCTTATAGCATTGTTCACAAAAGTGTGAACACCGCTAGATCAGGTTGCTCTTGCTCAGAGCCCCGTCCAACCTGAGCTTGAGTGTTTCCAGGGAAGGGGCATCTACCACCTCTCTGGGCAACCTATTCCAGTGTTTCAGCGCCCTCATTGTAAAAAAATTCTTCCTTATATCTAGTCTGAATCTATCCTCTTTTAGTTTACAGCCATTACCCCTTGTCCTATTACTAGAGGCCCTGCTAAAAACATATCTCAAACAATTTTTATTCTAACATGTAGAGAAGAACATGATTCTCTGTGTCAGACATCATCACATTCCTCAGATTTTCATACTATTGCTTGGATTGTGTTTATTTTTTAACAGAAGTCTAAACTGCAGAGAGACTTGCTTCCTGCCATGGTATGAAAGGTTTTTTGACCATGGAGTTCAGTGTATCTGGGCAGCTGCTTTAGGGAAGTGATGAACCAGAGTAGCACTGCAAGAGCAGGGTCTATGTATTATGCATTTTTGTTCCTAGTGTGGACTGATATGATGTGAACCATAACGCTCTGTGGTATTAATAATCCATGAGGTGAATTCTCAAGCAGGACTAAGAGAGAAGTTAACAAGCCAAATGCAGCCATTATAATGTATTTTATTAATGAGACACATTTTGCTTGCCTCTCAGGTGTAGAAGATTCTTTCATTTGTTTACCTTTAAATAAGAAAATAAGTAACACGCATTTTGAATATGTATTTTCTTATGCCTCTGTTAGAAAAATCAGTAAATCATACTGCAGAAATACTGTTATTAAAATAAAAGGTATCCAAAATGAACAAAGAAAACTCACTGGTACATCTAATTGGTATCAGAAACGGATTTTTACAGTGCATACATGAGCTGAATGTTAGTTGCAAAGAATCTGGATTTTATGTCAGGTGTTGTAGACATAAGCAAGAATGTCATTGCTTACCTATCTTTTTTAAGTCACATTTAGGCATCTAACTGACTGTTCATACCATCTGGCAAGGAGTGGTGTGACACAGCGAGGGCTGGGTTTACCCCTAGAGCCAAGACAAATGTTAGTGAAGGGTTCAAAGCTGCAGGTCCTGTATGAAGCAGGGTTAATGCAGTGCTGCCCTTCCCATTGAATCACAGAATTGTTCTGGTTGGAAAAGACCTAAGTTCTTTGAGTCCAACCATAACCTAACTACCAAACATTAACCTAACTCCACCAAGCCCAATGCTTAAACCATGTTCCTAAGCAGCCCTCTGGAAAAGGACCTGGGGGTACCAGTGGATCAAAAGCTGGACAGGAGCCACCAATGTGCGGTTGCAGCCCAGAAGACCAACTCCATTGTGGGCTGTATCAAAAGAAGTGTGGCCAGCAGATCGAGAGGAGATTCTGCCCCTCTATTCTGCCCTGGTGAGACCTCACCTAGAATACTGCATCCAGTTCTGGTGCCCCCAGCACAAGAAAGATGTGGACCTGTTGGAACGTGTCCAGAGAAGGGCCACGAAAATGATCTGAGGGCTGGAGCACCTCTCTTATGAGGACAGGCTGAGGGAGTTGGGATTGTTCAGCCTAGAGAAGAGAAGGCTCTGGGGGGACCTCTTAGTGGCCTTTCGTTACCTGAAGGGGCTACAGGAAAGCTGGGGAGGGTGTTTTTACAGGGGCTTGCAGTGAGAGGACAAGGGGTAATGGTTTGAAGCTGAGAGATTTAGGTTGGAGATGAGGCATAAATTCTTCAGTGTGAGGGTGGTGAGACACTGGAACAGGCTGCCCAGAGATGTTGTGGGGGCTCCATCCCTGCAGGTGTTCAAGGGCAGGTTGGATGGGGCTCTGAGCAGCCTGTTCTAGTGGAAGGTGTCCCTGCCCATGCAGGGGAGTTGGAATTCAATGATCTTTAAGGTCCCTTCCAGCTCAAAAAATTCTGTGATTCTGTGATCGGCACATCTCTTAAACACCTCCAGGGATGGTGATTCCACCACTTCCTGGGCAGCCTATTCCAGTGTTTAATAACCCTTTCGGTGAAGAAATCTCTTTTCATATCCAGTCTAAACCTCCCCTGGTGCAGCCTGAGCCCATTTTACCTTTCCCTATTGCTTGTTACTTGTGAGAAGAGGCCAACTCTCACCTCGTTACAACCTCCTTTCAAGTAGTTGTGGAGAGAGATAAGGTCTCCCCTCAGCCTCCTTTTCTCCAGGCTAAGCAACTCCAGTTCCTTCAGATGCTCCTTGTAGGGCTCCTGGCTCTAGACCCTTCACTAGCTTTGTTGCCCTTCTCTGGGCTTGCTCCAGCCCCTCAATGTCCTTCTTCTAGTGAGGGGCCCAGAATTGAGTCCTTCTGTGATGCAGATTGAACAATAACTTGGCTGTCCTGAAGTGCTTTGAGGACACCAATTTTCCCTCTGCCTGCACAAAGGCTGTGGTTTCTTACCTGTACAGTTAGAGTGTGCCTGCAAAGCAGACAACCTTTATGGAAACTACCACAGAAGTTCTCACAGTAAAGCTAAGTGACTTGATAGGAGGACTAGGGGTTAAACTGGGGTAGCACAGACACATACTAAAAAAATGCTGCCTGCTCCTGGTCTGATGCGGTCCTCAGCCTGAATCAATCTAACATTGGTTTTTTTTCATGATGGGCGAGACAAAGGTAAGAAATTGCCAGACTGTCGAGAGTCCATTTTCTTCAGATGTTGTCATGTGTGCTTACAGAGTTCATGACCATGTTCCCTCAGTGTTTTAGTGTCTCATCCCTCTCAATACCTGGTGAAATAAATGAAAGGGAGAGAGATCAGGATTGATTATTTGTAGTGCTCTCATCAGCTAATTTGCTTTGTGTGTTGCCACCAGAGGGTCAGGGCAGAGCATTTTCCTGCAGAAAGCATCAGTATGGGTGAGGTGTTGTAGTAATATAAACTTTCTCTAAGTAAAACCTTAATTTGATGGGTCTCTTTAGTGAATGTAAAATACTGTTACACCATCAGAATTGCTTCACAGAAATAATTGTATTAGTATGTTCAACAGAGTATTCAGCAAATTAGGAATGGGGCTAGTGATCTGCTTCAGAGTATAGGGTGGAATAGTAAAACCAATACTTTCTTCTTAAGCAAAAATATACTTAACATTTGTATCTCTGGTTAATATACATTGTACACCTGAGCTTTAGCAGCAGATTTGGCCTGTAATCTTTTAGAGGCATATCTTTGTTATGATTTGACCTGACCATGTTAGAAAAATACATTTAACAATCATGCAGGTGAGTATTTTGTGATAGACAGAGTGGCTTTTCTCAGGTGATGATCCTTCTTTTTAAAAAGGCAATAGAAGATGCAGCAGTTGCAGCAATCCCTTAAGGTCTGGAAATTAGTTCCTTGCTTTGCCCCTGATTTCTTATGTTAGGATGATAAATTTCTACAAGGAAATTCTGGACTGCAATTTAGAGGTGTAGCCATTGTGGTAATGCTGTCTGGATTGTTTCTGAGTAAGGAAATGAGACTATTTCATTGAGCCATGAAAGTTTTACCTCTTCCGAGAAATATTTTTGCAGTGTTGAAATAGGTAGGGTGGGGTACAAGAGTTGCATTAATATCCCTCTCTGTCACTCTCTCTTACTTCTTTTATTCTTCAAATTAAATGACTTCACAATATAAACTTAAGATTGGTGCTTGCTACTCCATTTTTATTTTTTAAATGCTATTTTAACATCTATTTTATGTTTGGAAAACATGAAAGCAGAAAATAATTCACTGCTTTTCTCTTTACTGACAGTTGCTATTTATATAAATTAGAATATTACAGTAGAAGGTTTGATAAACAGAAACATGAAACAGCCACAGTCTGTTCCTCTTAGCATGGGCTATGTGATAAGAAGTTAGCACATTTTAAATCTTGCTCTGAGCACTGAAGGATTGCAGTCCTGGCAGTATCTTTGTTGGTTGGGAGAATTCTTATTTGCTTGCATTTTCCTGTAATGCTCCATTTTGAGCACTGAGTGTTATAGAAAGGATGATAAGCTTGAGACTGCATGCATAAATTGGTGATAATAATGGTATTTAAAGATGCTCCAGAATCTTGCAGGCAATCCATGCACTCTGTTAGATATTGAGATGGTTTATGTGGACATTCATCAAAGGATCTATTGACTGTTTGAATATTTTGTGGGCTACTGAAAATGAAAACTTGGTATGAAGTAAGATCATTTGCTTTTTTTTTTTTTATTGTTCACTGTTTTTTAAAAATAGGGAATGGATTATTTTTCAATGCAGTGTTGTATCTGTTGCAAAAGGAATGCTAGCATAAATATTTGTGCTACATCTGGCACTGGCTTTCAGGCCCTTAGCTATTACTGGAATCTAACGTCACCTGCTTTACAAATTCCTACTAGTCGGGGCACTGCAGCCCAGAGTGACTTTCCAGTGCACTGATTGTGCTCCCTCCTTTTTTAGGTTACTACCATAACAGTACAAAAGTGGCTGTGAAGACTCTGAAGCCTGGGACGATGTCTGTGCAAGCCTTCCTGGAGGAAGCCAACCTCATGAAAACACTTCAGCATGATAAGCTGGTCAGGCTTTATGCTGTAGTGACCAAAGAAGAACCTATTTATATTATAACAGAATTCATGGCTAAAGGTGAGAACAACATAGGATCTGCAAGGGATGTTTTTGTAAACTCTTGTGCTTCTTGTAACTTAGTCCCCTTTCTTCAAGAAGAAATTAATAAAAAAAATGAAAACTTGGGATTTAATGTTATTCTTTTAACTGCTCTGATATAAAGTGAAGGAACACCTATCCTAGAGGAGGATTGAGGCTATGTCTTTGTAATTCATTGCTGCATTTGTGAAATAAACCATTTTTACAATTTTCTTAAATGTACCATTTTAAATTGTTTCAGATGCAGAGCATAACCCCTAAAATAGCTCTGGTTCCTTTGGACTCCCTGCCTGTCTAGTGCCAAAGAAAGGCAATTAAAACAAACCTTAGAAATTGCCTTGAATTGATAAATATGTGTGTGATGAGTGATGAGTAGTCTTGCAAGGGTGGCTGCACCACCAGAAAAGGACAACCTTTATGAGAGCATTACTGCACAAAATAGTGAGGTTTCCTTCTCAGATTGTCTTGGGTCATAGTTTTTCTTGATTTGTTCTGTTTTCAAGCAATTCTTCTGATAATTTCATGAACAAGTGTTGAGCCACTTATTCTTCATGACTTGGAAAGGATCGATATGTGTGATTCTCCTTGACAGCTTTCCTGATAGTCCATAGACTAGGGTACTTATCATACTCAACACCACTCAACTAAGATATAGTCTGATGGGAGTTTTCTACACTCAAGAAAATGGCAAAGTTTGGATGCCTGACATGCTGACTTGGATGTTACTGTTCTTAAAACATGTGAAGAGGCTGCCTTGCTATAGTCAATGTGAAAATGCATCAAAACACTTCGCTACAGAAATGTGATCCAGCAAATTGGGAATCTGACGTGACCTTTATGTCAGTAATAACCTGCACTGACTTATTTTTTCTCTGTTGTAACAGGAAGTTTGCTGGATTTTCTGAAGAGTGATGAAGGAAGTAAATTGCTGCTTCCAAAGCTAATCGATTTCTCTGCTCAGGTAAATTTGAAGAAACATGCTCAAAATTAAGAGAGTTTATTTCTCCCTGAGTCTAAAACTCATGCTGGGTAATTTTATCCTAAGGGTCTTTAGCATAAAAAAAAAAAATAATTAATTTTTGAGTATGTTTTGAAAAGAGGGAACAGATAAAAGAGGTTTCAAAGGGAATATGTGAAGTTAGCCTGAACTCTTAGATACTGCTGGTGACTTGCTTAAGTGACAGTGCTACTCTGCTTAGATGACAGTAGTAACCAGCTCATTTCTTCCGTGGAAAGGCTGCCTTCAGTTCAAGCAGCTGTGAGTTGGAAGTGTAAGTACAAGTTTGTGCTTATGAGATTCCTTCAGTATGAATAAATGTGTCATTTTTACTTAAGTTAGGTCAACTGGTCAAATTTCTCTCAACCTCAAGGTGCTATTGTTGGTTTCAAATCCTTATGAGAAATAAGGACTGTGAAATAAATGAAATCTAATCAAACGATGCTTCAGGTACTAGTATCTGATTTATGGACAGAGATGTTTGTTTCAAAATATACAAGTTATCCTATATCATAAACAAAATCTGTAGAGAGAGACTCCAGGGTGATTTGTGTGTCAAAGCTTGGATCAAAGGTGCCTGGAGCCCAGTGCTTCACCTGAGAGTTACCAGCATTAGATGTCCAGGGAGGCATGTAGATAACAAGGTACAAATTGTGCTTTTGCAAGTTGTAATTCATGTTACTAGTAGGTAATGAAGGCATTTCTGATGGGTTATTGCTTCACTGAGTTTTGGGGTTTTCAGTATGCAGACTAGTGTAACTCTCTTAAACTAACTTGTTCCAATTCATGAGGGAAGTCAAGAAAGTCTTAAAAATATGCAATAAATCATTAGTGATTTCTAAAAAAACCACCACACTTTGCGATTATTATATAACTTTTAATATAACTATTGTTATATAAATTAATATCAGACTAGATACTAGGAAGCATTTATTTACAGACAGGGTGGCTGAACACTGGAGTAGGCTTCTTAGAGACGTGGTCAGTGCCCCAAGCCTGACAGAGTTTAAGAGGCATTTGGACGATACCCTTAATAATATGTTTTAACTTCTGGTTAAAGCGGCCTGAAGTGGTCAAGCAGTTGGACTAGATGGTGGTTGGAGGTTCTTTCCAATTGGAACTATTCTATTCAGTGATGTATCATATATCACATAGTGTTATATAGATGTTCAATATATCAAATAGGGATTTTTGTTTAACATAGATTCAGTGCAGGAGTTGGTTTTGCTCTCATTGTCGGTTCAGTGTAGGGATCCTCAGGAAGGTCTCTCTTAGCATTTCTAGCTGCAGCCCAAACCAAATTTTGGAAGAGACATACTGTAGTTTCTCTTATGGAAAGAACTTGAAGGGTTTTTGAACACATTTGTAAAGAGCCCTTAAAGCCACTGCGTATTAACAGGACTATGTGGAATAGGTTGGAAGGCTGCATGTGGTTCCCAGACCAGAGCTTTCCATCTAACCAACACAGATGTTCTACTGGTCTTCTCTGACAGTCTGAGAGTTTACTGGTGGGTCTTTAGGGCAAAAGACCAACAACAATATTTTCAAATGCTGTTGGCCTAATGCTAAGGTAATGGTAACTTTACTGCAGACCTGTGGATCAGGTCTTCTCCAGAATGTAAGCTGTGTATAAAGGAGAACATAAAATGTGTCTAGTGTTTTTGGTATGATTCTGTTTTGCAAAAGTGGAACACTAATTTATTCTTAGAGTAGTGATGTTAACCTCTCTAATACAGCGTAAGGGGAAAGAAATTTGGAGAGCTATGTTTCAGAAGAGATTTTAAAAAAGAAGCATGGAAGAAGCTCACAGTGAACTACTTAGATAAGATAAGGGTTTTAGGGTTTATTTACCTTGGTGGACACACAAATTTGAGCTCTTCATGACTGTCTAATCACACCATTCTGGCAAGGCAGTTTACCAGACTACCCCAGCTTCTCGGAAAGACTGAATATGCAACAAATGATAGCTGAGGATTGGCTTATTTTCCCCCTTGTGCATGTGTGATGTTGCACAAGGCTGGCCTGCTCCCCCCCGTGCTGCACAGCTGCCTGGCTCGCATCCACGTGTGTGCACACAAGGAAGGGGTCTGTTGCAAAAACAATTGCTGAAAGAACCTGACTCATTGCAGAAGGGATTTGTGATACAGCAGGAGAAAATGGGAAAGGAGAGGTTCCACTTAATATGTTGCCTGCTTATCCAGAGGATTGGCCTTTGCCACCTTACAATCGCCTAATCAGATAAAGAGGAATTGGGAATGGGAGAAGGGGAGGGGAGGATGTAGTCTCTGTAGGTAGCTGAAGAATGTAGTGCAGGTAGATGAACATGAACACCCAGCTGAATCCGATTTTCCAAGTGGTGTTGAAGGGCACTGTGCAGTTGGTGCTCCAACCGCTGACTTTCTAATGCCTTTGCCTTGAAAGAAATCTGCATTTACCAGGGGTGAAGCATCCTGACTTTGCAAAAAGTAAGGACTGCTCCCCCAGGTGAAATAAATACCTTTAAAAAAGATAGCATTTTTTCAAGAAAGTAATCAAATACAGTCCTACTCTGCTGTACTGATTTTGCTGTTTTGTTGGCTTAACATCTGCACTCACTGATTGCCATCGTTGACAGTGAGAGCCGAGTACTGAGGACAGTCTTTCTAGTAGGGTCTGTGGCAATAGAACAAGGGGCAATAGTTTTAAACTAAAAGATGGTAGATTTAGACTAGACATAAGGAAGAATGAGGGTGGTGAAACACTGGAACAGGTTGCCCAGAGAGGTGATAGATGCCCTATCCCTGGAAACACTCAGGGCCAGGCTGGACAGGGCTCTGAGCAACCTCATCTAGTTTAGGATGTCCCTGCTCACTGCAGGGAGGTTGGACTAGATGACCTTTAAATGTCCCTTCCAACACAAACCATTTTGTGATTCTACTTAGTTACATCTAGTGACTACTTTGGCATACTGCTGTGGATTCAGGATTATTATGGTTTTATTGCTGTACTAACAATCACAATTTATGAATGAAGCTTGTGGAAAACAGGGCAAGAAAATGCTTGCTAGGAAGGTGGTCCAGCTCACTTTCTAAAGCAATCTGCCCTCTGAAAGAGCTGAAGTTTCTATTTTGGTTTTTAATTAATGCATATGAGTAGGGGCGGGGGAAATCTAGTGATTTTGGCCACTGGAGTTGAATCCTAGAAGTCTCTGAAAGGCGTGTGTTTTAAAGAAAGCAGAGTTTCGCAAACTTCACTTCAAGCACATACTAGCTGCTTGAGGACAGAGTAGAGCTGTGGCATCTCCTGTAGAAGTCAGCAGAGCTGTCAGTATGTCAGACAGGCTAGAGACAGCCAGGAACATAGAGCCAGTAAAATCTGAGCCCACTTCCCTGCCTGTGGGACCACTGCTGGTGGGTGACTCTGCAGCACAGCTCGGGCAGATGCCCTGCATCTGGCAGCCATTACCTGACATGGTTGGCCACCAGTTCCCCTTCCTGGGGCTTCCGCACAGCAGCCCAGTCAGCGGGCTCAGGGAAACCAAAAGTGCTGTTGGTTCTCAGTTGCAAGTTGTCTGTGAGCTATGCTGCCAAATCTTGCTGATGCAGCCAGCCAGGACAGCCTGTGTGGGCATTGCCCATTGGCGATCTACTGGCTCATCAACAGCCTTGCTCCCTCAGCACTGAAGCCACTGGCAAATTTTGGATTTTACTAGTTGTTTTTTTGTCTTGCCTCAGAGATACTTTACCCAAAGAGCTCCCGATTCTTTGTTTCACAGTTCTTAAAGTTGTACTCGCTTCTGTTTGGTGAGAGCTGCTGAAAAGATACAACCTTTGGCTTGTGCAAATGCTTCCTGCTCCTTACACAGAGGCATTATCTGCCGCGTGGCACCACGTGCCTGGTGGCCGTGGGGAGGGAAACGGTCTCAGCTGCTGCTGGACACACTCATATCGTACCTTTCAGACTGGTCAAAGCTTTGTCCCCAAACCAGTCTTTTTTCCCATGCACCGCTGATACTTCCATTCATTGTTCTGTGATCTACAACTTCATTGGCAACTCTTAGCCTCTTCTTCCTGCCTTCCAAGGCTACAGATTAAAATAAGAATAAACTTAGAATAAAATTACCAGAGGTTTTTTTATGCAGTGTTTTAATCTCTCTCTCATCTCTTTTTTTAAGAAGAGAGGTGAAACTCCTAAATCAGAATTAATTTTAACTCTTATTTGGCATTGGGATGTTTCTACTGCAGTCTCACCATATTCCTTTCCAGGTTTCTTTCAGTTTTAATGATACCCTCTAATGTTCCAGTGCACAATTATATGTTACTTTAATGATCTTTTTTTTTCCCCCTATGGATCTGCTTTGACTACATAGCTGCTTGACTGGGACAAAAGAAATATGTTTTTGCAGCCTTTCCTGACTTCACCTGTAGGTATTAAACTAATATACCACTGGAAGATTAAAATGTGACTTCTTCTCAGTGGTTTTCAATTGCAAGATATAAAGGATCTGCTCCCTCTTCATAGACAAAGAGTCATATGAAGATGAACTCATTTTTGAAAACCATGGTCACAAAGTGTATTTTATTGTATGTCTGGACAGTGTGGTAAGGAACCTGGTTTTGCTTAATTCCAGACCAAAGACAATCGTGTCCAGATTAGTAACACGTCTGCTCTAGAACTCTCAAAACTGCAGACTGTTTTTAGTAAGGCATTTCCCTAAGGAGCCAAGTTACCAAATTTAAGGCAGTGTGAGCCTCACGATGTGCTCCATCATTTCCTTTGCTTAAAAGCAGGATGCTCCTTCCCACCGTAATGCTGTGCACTCATTTCCAGTCTGATTTTCAGATTGCTTTACCTGCTTTGGCAGAAGCATCCTGCCAAGCCCTGGGCCTGGGCTGGGCTGGTGGGCAGCTGAGAGCAGCTCTGAGGCCACCATTCCCCACCTGCTGAGCAAAGGATGAGGGATGCATCTGGGATGTCCTGCTCACTGCTGGACCCTCAGGGGCAGCATCCCAGCCCTGGAATGGCTCCAGGGAGTGAGCACAGCACTTCAGCCCCACTTGTCTTGCAGGCAGCAGCAATACAGAGGGAATTTTGAGGCTGCTTTATGCACGAATCCCTGCTTTCTGCTGCCTGTGGTTTCACGTGTTGTTTTATAGTACAGATCCTGGAAACAGTAAAAAGCCCCATCTGCCAACACCAAAGGGAGCCTTTTAAAAACATACCTAAGCCTTCTCTTAATTAATCACTTCTACATGATTTTAGCTTCATATAATGGATAAAACAGGGCTGGAGAGAATTGTGGATGTTTTTAGCGTAGCTTTTCTCAATATTTTGGAAATTGTAGGTCACCCCCTTTTGTTTTTTTCCCAGAGTTGACTTCATTTGTAACCACATAGAAACTAGGCTCAACTTTGAATACTGATTCATCGCTTATGTTTTTTCCCCATTTTCCTTGCTGGCTTTTCAGCTGAGTGAGGACTTCTAAGTTTGGATTTACTGACAGTTTTCAGGTGTCTCGTAAACCACCTCTATCCACAAAAATTGTCCTGACCCAGTTCTTTCCCTTTTCCATCCTGTGTTCTTACCCTTTTGTTCTCCACATTAACCATGTGTGCATTCTTGGCCCTTCCAGCAAAGACTGAAGCAAAGGCAGCATTTGAAAAGTTCTCTGCATTATTTGCATGTAGTCTTCTCCATTATTTCATTTAATCATTCATTGAATGTGAATGTTTTCCCTGGTCTTGTCCCATTATTATTGCACCCCTGCTTATACTTACTACTTGTAGCACTGTTTTGTGGGCAGGCTCTTCCAATTTTTGTCATATTTGGTTATATTTTATACTTTGTTAATTTGAAAGTATCATTTTCAGCAGTTTCTGACCATGTAAGAATTGGACAAATTTTTCTCATTGGGCACTGTCTTTACAATGTGTGATTTGCCTTTGCGCTTGTCATTGCTGGTTTTTTTTGATGGTGTGGTTGTTCCTGAGACTTGGTTCCTATCAGGCTGTACCTGTCAGCCCTCCAAGTTGTTTAAAATTTGCTTTCCTGGGGGGAAAAAAAAAAAAATAAATAAATTCTTCATATTCAGCCATCGTTTCATTCCCTTTACTTTCCATTCCGCTCTGTTCTGTGATCCCTGTCACTTGTATTTTCTTCTCAACATACATTCTTAGCATGATGTAAAAGCACCTTGCTGGTCTGACCCTAAACAAACCCAGCTGTCCTCTTTATTATTCCGCATTTTTACATTCAGCCTAGAAATGCACCAGTGGAATACATTACACAGGTTGCCATAACTCCCTCTCTGCATGAAGAAACAGCACTGCAACCTACGTGTAAAGCATGGCTTGTTTGAAATAACTCTTGCAAAAAAGACTTACAGACCTTGGAATGGAATTGAAATCAAGCAGGTCTGTCATTGAGTAGAAAAACAGAGCTATGGAGGAATCCAGAATTTCTCCTGGTTTGTAGCATAGAACTGCCTATCCATCTATGTGCTGTTACACATCAGCTGTGATGTTTCATGGAGGCAGCCTGTGAGTTGTGACCAAGTGACCTTTTCAGAATCTGTAGCTCTTCTGTTACAGCAGTGACTTCTCCTGAAGCACTGGTTTATCAGGTTGTCTGCTCCCTACTTCAAAATCCTCTGCTGCTTTTGCTGCTTTTCCCCAACACCTTCAGAAGCTACAAAGAATGAATCAAAAAGTAGGGAATGTATGTTTTCAAAGCAACGCTGTTTGCTCTGTGCTTTTGTTCCCATTTTCTTTCAGGATTTTGAAAGATTTTTATACCTATGTGTGAAATGACCCACAATTGTTCTGGAAAGTTAAGTCATTACCCTGTTTTACAGGTGGAAAGAGCAGAAACAGGGAGGAAAGAGCAGAAACAGGGAGGAAGGAGCACTGCCAGCTGAAATGAGTGACAGCTGTTGGCAGATCTCTGTGGCTTCTAGTCATTCATTTCTTGCATGACTTATAGCTGAAGTTTTACAGTGCAGAGGTTGGCTTGTGGAGTGATTGACTTCTTCCAGGATAAGATTTTTCTTCCACTCTTACCCTGGGTGCATAGTTCCTAGTATTTAAAGATTTGGTGGTGGGTTTTTTTTAAAAGGATTTAACTCGGGTATTTCTAGAAGTGTGTCAGTAGTCCATCAAAAGTGAAGGGGAAACTCCTCCCTTCTTGGTGTTAACAGTTGGGTAGACAGCATCCTCTCTTAAAGGCCACAGAAAATATTCCAGAAGCCCAAATTAGCTTTTCTGTCCTGCTCCTGAGTAGTAGTTAGATGTAACCAGTCTTGATAGGTACCAAGGATCATTAAAAGAAGGGGGAAAGGGCTTAAATTTTCTTTTGTTCTGATGCATTTCTCTATATTTAACGTATCACTTGGCAATGAAAACCCAACCATTATCATACAGAATTAACACATGGGCTCTGGCACCCGTTCCCTTTTTTTCCCT